TTCAAGTTCAAGGACATAGCCTCAAAGATGTTGCCCATACCAGGGCTCCTTGACCCAACAAGCAGGTGCCACCTGTGGCTCTGGAGCATTACTCTTATCTTATATGGCATTCCAAGGGCACAGGGTTCATGCAAAAATACTGTAGGAAACCTCAGAAAAAAGCCAGCCTGAAAGAAATGTCCAACCTCTCCTATGCGTTTCCGGTGCACGGCATTCCTCACATTCCAGCAATGCTTTCGCCAAAATTAAACTTTCTGTCTTAAGCAGGGAGACTGTTTCCAACGCACCCTTGATTGCAAAACCACTGGGAGAGACTCTTTACGCAGCTGCTTCATAGTTTGGGCAGGTTTCTTCAATGGCTCAGCACTATTTTCTACACAGCATCCAAGCAGAGAGACAGAAGAATGAGTCTTTAAATGCAGACCCTTGAAACGTCTGTGCTGTGTTGATTTTCATAGCTGTAAAACTGGAGATACCAGTTATTTAACTTCTAGACAGGACTGACTCTTTGGAAAGTGTTTTGAAAGCGTTGGAAGCTGTTCTGCTGACAAAAAACCCTGTTACCAGAAATATTCTCCTTTGGAAAATGCTGTTTGATGATTTAAACAAAACTGTTGACATGCTCCATACCAAAATGAACACTTCATACCAGTTCTTCTGATTTGTGCTTGGGAGGAGTTTCAAGGTTCAAGCTGCTATATGTTCAAGCTGCACATACAGCACTACTTTAGCACTTCATTACTTGTGGCTCAAACTATCCTGACACTCAGATGGGAAAACAAAACTTCAAATCCATTCAGCTGATAGTGCAACATTTTATGTGCAAGCCATCTCCTTCACCACTGGCACAGGCACACAGAATTACCAGCTCAACATTTCACATAACAATGACAAAGAGGAGTTTTTATTCCATGCTAACTTCAAGATAAGGTAACTAATCTAAAATTAAAGGTGTCTGCAAATAGAGGGATGTTCTTCATTTGCACCCTTCTAACCAAATGCTAACTTTTTCTTCCACTGTCCCAAACCTGGAAACTACTCCCATACAGGTGAGCAAATGCTCAACTTTTATTCAGTGGAAACAGGGCCCAGAGCAAGGCACCCAGTCCTGATCCAAGCATGTGCTTTCTTGCTCTCTCAAACCAAGGTCTTGTGCAGGTATTTCACAAATCTAAGCACAGGAGGGACCTGATTAAAAATCAGTGGAAGGTACTATGCAATCTGGGCACTGATAACAATCCTGAAAAAAACCACATTTAATAGTAATAACAATAACAATAATAATAATAATGATGATGATGATGATGCAACTGTCCCACAGAAATCAATGGGAATAAGGCCCTTGGCTCTTGCAGATGAAATACCCTGTTGCGATACATGCTCATTCTTCCACTCCTTGCACCAAGATCTCTCAGCTTGGCTTCTTCCAAAAGAAAGACATGTTTTAAAGTATGCTCTGTAAGCACAAGGATTGATAATAACCTCTCATACATCTTTTCCTCTCATTGTTTTTGTTTTAAAAACCTAGCAACAAAGTAGAAAAAATGAGAGGAAAACTCTTTTGAAAGTACAGAGTACAAAATCCCTCTTCTATCTAGAAACTATTCAATAAAAGTTACCACCTGGTGATCCAAGAGAGCCATCTTAAAATATCCTTTTGCCATTTGTCACTGGTTTATCGTCTTTTTCTCCCTACTTTTTTTTCAGTTTCCGCTGGAAGGGCAGCAGCTGTGCTTAGTTGGAAACAAAACCATTTCACCTAGAACCACTTCAAACTGCAAGGATGTTGACTGATGGTGTTTTCCCATTCAGAAAATGTCAGCCCATTACTATATGCACCACACTGTAACATGGTATGACTTCATGTACGAATGTCAAAAGCTTCCTGAGAACTTCGCATCATTCATAAAAACAAAGCGTAAATCAGTGGTCTGCTAGCTCATCTCTCCTCCCTTTCAACATAACTGGTCTAAGCAGGCAGTTAACTTAGTAGAACAAATATAATGAAATAGCCTGACCGAAATACTGAGATAATATATGAACTGGCAAAACCTCTATAAAGCTGAAGTTACCACTAAAATGTGGGTAATAGGCTGCATGTGTTGTAAGACCATCTCTGATTTGTGGCTGGGAATTTAATAACCATTTTTGTTACAGATACAGGTTTCCAATGCTTTGAAAATTTGCCTGTAAAATGAGATTTTTTTATTTTGACCTGTTGCTTTTCTATATGCACTGTCACCTTCCTGTGAAACTTCTGGATTAACAATACATGAGTCTTCACACAGATCTTAAAAAACAGTTATGGGGTTGCTGCAGGAGTTATTAGGTGAAGTTTTACAGTCTGCATTATATAGCAAGTAAGATTAGATGATCCTATTGCTCCCTTCTGGACCTAAAATCTATGAGCATGTATTCTTAGAAAGAAAACAAGGCTCTGAGCATGGTTACTATCTCAACTGTAGAAAAGGAACAATGAGTAAAATACGATTTGCTCATTTAAAACATGCAACTAGAATTGTCTTTAAGAAGTAGCAATCAGTAACCCTGCAGAAACATGACACCACCACAGAAGGTCCAGCCCAACAATCAATGGAGAAATACGTTAAGAACACGTCTGTTGTAAGAGACAACACTTGCAGCATAGGTGGTCAGTACTTTGGGTGAATAGACCACCGTCTTTAATACTGCTCACAGCCTGCCAGCTGGCTCAGCACTCACACAGATGATGACAAAGACACAAAAACCCTCAAATCCTCTGAGGACTGTGAAAAGCATGAGAAGAAAAATGTCATGGGAATGTACATCATTGAGTAACGGCCTGACAATATTATTTTGTCTGTAGATGGAAAAAGTAAAAGCGGTCATCTCCTCCAAAACCAAGCGTTAACAAAAAATAAGATGCTTCTAAGAAACCTGTGAAACGGGTACAGTCCTGCTCGCATGTTCAAGTTTCTCACAAAAACATTGGTGCCTCTTTCACCCACTAGCTCCCTGCTATGGAAAAACACTTCTTCAGAGTCTGGAAAATGCTGTTTGATTTCAGTAAATTACATCTCACTGCTTGTCGGTTTCTGATTGATGGCGTAACTTAGGGAACAATATCTGTGTGTGGAATACAGTCTGGAGAAGCAGTCAGGGATTATTGAAAATACAGTATTTATGCAGTTTAAAAATCAGTGGCACATTACGCACAACTTTTTTCTTGAGTGATGAAAAATTACTGAAGTGCATTTGGGAACAAAGGGTATAAGGTCTTTTGTCTATTTCTAAGAACACTCGACTGGTAAGACTTCTTAGTGAGTTAGTAGTGATGGATGCAAGAAAAAGCATCGACTGCAGTTGAGCATAAAGCCAACTGCTCCTCCAACCAATGGGCAGAAAGGAAGACGTCACTGTTCGATGGTGGTCAGAAAAGAGGGAAGAAAATAAAACCAAAGAAAAGAGAAGGAAAATGAACCAAGGATCACTGATTTCTCCAAGCCATTTAGAACTACTGGAGAAGGAGAAAAAGTCGAAAGTTTTATCACACCACATGTTGTTTCTTCATCTATCTGATACGTCATCGTTAGTTGGAAGACTTTCAGAAAACAGCCACTATGAAAGAGCAGTCATCTCCGCAGCATAAATCATTCCAGACTTACTGAATTCAAGGGCCTAGTGCCAATTTACACCAGCCACAGCTATGACTTTATACGTACCTCACCTTCCAAAACTTCATTTGAGTCCTTACGGTCCTGTCATGACACAACCTCCATACTTTTCGCCACACAAAACAAATGCAACAGACACCAGGACATCAGTCACAGAAAGGTCATGACTGTAAACAATTACAGAACCTAGGCAAAATACATATTTCCATCAGACATAAAGAGGAGAAGATTAATTTCAATGTGTAAGTGCATCAGAGAAGCAAATGAGCAAGGGTGCTGTTGGCAGCAGTGTTACTCTGTGCAGAAAAAAAATTCACCATGCACCCAAAAATTCAGCAGGCGTAAAGTAAATGAAGACAAATACTCCCCACACATCCTACAAAATTAAACTGCCAAATCCATTGCTACAGAGAGACGAAAGGCGTGAAAAGCTTACAGAAGGGTTAGTTCAACTCATGAAGTGCAGGTCTGCTGCTGGCTGCTGAAAACAACGGTTCAGAGGCAATAGACAGCTCAGCACATCTTTGAATGCTGTAGGAGCGTGAGGAATTTGGATATATGAAGTAGCATCACTCTACTCTCTCTTGGTTTTTCTTCTTGTTTCTCTAGCCTCCGTTACGGTCCTGTTGCAGGGACAGAAAAGCAGCTAAGCAGAGTTTGGTTTGCTCCCGCAGGGCCATGTTAATGCCTGTATGTGCTCTACCTGATGCCAGAGCGAGGAACAAGGAAGCAAGAGAAACACTGTCAAAACCACAGTGTAAATTCACCAACACCTGCCTGGATAATTATTGCAGACTGTAGTAATCCTTAGGACAGCCAAGGAACACTGGATGTGAAAAGACAAATTTATCTGCAATAGTTTTAAATGAAGTAATACGATGTGATGCGTGAAAGCGAACAAGAAAGCAAGTCTACAAAGAGATTCACAGCATGGTTGGGACCCAGGAATAGCTGCCACAGGTGGTTCAGAAAGAAGAGGAGAGCAAAGGGTCATTGGGGGGAAATGTTTTTCCACATTGGCCTGTGGAAAAAGTCATGGACAGCGTTTCTGAGAAGAAGAGAGGTAACATAAATCTTTGGTTGGGGCAAAGATAATTCTTTGTTCTTTGTGGGAGCTGGGTGGTGATCACCACGGATGGTACCTCAAGAGACTCTTCACACAACTTAGAGAGGTACACAGGAGCGGAAAGGTACCGACTAACTGCGCTCCTGAACCACGAGACTTCTGAAGCACATGCTCGTACTACTGTACAGCAACAGCCCTACATTGATACTGCACTACAAGCCTTCCACGAAGTAGCCACTGTCTTGCAAACACCTATTTTCTGGCGTCTAGGTTCCTTCCCATCAGCAACACATCTTCTGGCTGCCTGCCCCAAGTCTCTGCGGTCCCAGATGCCCCGGGGGGGTGCACTTACCTCTTGCTTTCGACTCCGAGTAGGAAGGGATGTCCTCAGAGGTCAGGATTTGGGGGAGGCATGTGGGAGTGCCAACCCCCTGTCCTAGGTAGGAAGCGGGTGGGTAGTAGGAGCACATGCGGTACTGGGAGCTGACGGCGTGGCGGCCCTCCATGCCCTTCACCTGTTGGAGAGAGGAGAAGTGCAACAGCAGCCTGTGAGAGCTTAGCCCCAGCACCCTGCAGGCACGGTGCTGCCCTGCACGCACACGGCTTCGAAGGAGGGCATGGCGGGTGGATGGGAAGTAAAGTCCTGACACGCTGGCCATGGGTCTTTGCTCTGGCTGGCTCATGGTGTGCCCACGCTGCTCAGCTACGGGTGAGCCGGTGTGGTGAGGGATGTGAGCCGGTGTGGTGAGGGATGTGACCCGAGAGCAGCAGCGGCAGCACTGGCACACCTGCGGCTGGTTTCCCTCACCTCCGCTGATGCTGTGTCTGGCGCACCAGCATGTACCCTTCACTGCAAGAAGCTTCAGCACAGACACCACCACAGGAAGCTTTCCAGACTCCTTCAACTGCATGTGCTCAGTCAGTGGCAGAGGTGAAGTGCCCATCCAGTCCCTACACATCCCCAGAGATCAACCCGTCTCAGACTGGTCGTAACTGCTCTGCCAGGGTCCTACAGGGTGGCAATGGAGGACAGTCCTACCAACTGACTCACTCGGGACACGCTCTGTGGCATCTGAGCAGTGATGGCATGTGCACAACCCATCGCTTTTCTTTTAGTCCAGTGAGATGAACAAGTATTTTCCTGATTTATCCAGAGAAACCAAGTTATGGACAGCCTACATGGGAAGCCTGTAGTGGAGCCACAGCTGGAGACCAGCTAGTAGGTCCACTGTGTCAGCACAGTGTCCACCAGACAAACCCTTCTCCCTGCCACAGCCTGCAGCAAAGTTGGCAGCACTCAGAAATCAAAGTTTAACCTACTCCAATGCCCTGAAATAATCCAAATCATCTCCTCAGAGAGGCGGTAATGCTTTTCTGAATTTTTGTTTTATGAAAGAACTACCATCTACCATTATTTGTTCCAAAGCCCTACAATGTAATGTGGCTACAGTGCTCCAAAACATACAGCCAAACACTTCACAAAATCAGGATTTTCAACAGTAAAGGTAACACCATCTGGTTTCTCTAAGTCTACTGGACAGTGAAAGATCTCAAGACGGAAAGCTTCCTGGCAGAGAAAAAACATCACCGTTTTGTACCAAGCAAAAAGGCAGCAGTGCCAGCACTAACGCACGTCCAGCTATGCCATTAGACGTTATCTCCACAAGCAGAAGTGCTTAAGGCGGCAGTGCCAGCACTAACACACGTCCAGCTATGCCATTAGACGTTGTCTCCACAAGCAGAAGTGCTTGACAGCCTTTTCAGCCATGTCTCACCTCGGCTAGAGGAACTCTGCCTGCTCCACCATAGGTCCCAGCCAGCCACGCATCCAGCCCTGCTCCTCAGCCCTTCCCAGGCTGCAAAGCTCAGGCCCCGGGAGCAGTGGAGCAAGGGGAGGAACCTGCTGTTCCAGGTGGCCACCCTGCGCCAGCGGACCCCCCGGGGTCTGGTCCTGGCCAAAGGAGCCACCAGCACCTCCCAACAAAGCAGCCGGAATGCAGTCACCCCTTGTTTTCCAAGGGTCCCCTTAATAATTCAATGTTCATTTTAGTATGCCTAGCTGGAAATAACGTGGCCAGAGTCACATAAAATCCTGCTGGTGCTCTCTGAGACAGAAGGCCACATCTCGCTTCCCATGTGAAGCTGGGTTTGCAGTGAGATGAAGTGCCGAGAGTGAGCAGTGGCTCTTTCCAGGAAGCAAAGTGCATCCCTGCCTGTCTTCTGGCAGCAGCACAGTTGCACATATTTGTGCATGTTCTGAGGGACCATTAGGGCATGCTTTTAGTCTGTGAAAGTAAGAGAAATAATATAATTTTATAATAGAAATAATTTTCTATTATAAATTAAAGCAATACTTAAAAGGTGACTTTTCTTCCATCCGCACCCTATGCATGCAGAGAAAGTTCAACATGTACCCAAGTTTCACCCATGACAAAGAACACATTGCTCTTAAAAAAATGTGTCATGCCAAGGAAGCCTGGACTCAGAAGAGTCACTGACACCCCCTCTGCTGTTCCCAACAAGGGCAGTCTCCTCTTGCAAACAGACATCTGTGGTTTGCACAGACTTCCTCCACAAAACCCAGGCTGCCTCTGCCCTGAGATTATGGACCGGTTATACAGACTGCCCAAAAGCTCAGCCCAAAGGCCGTTTGGAATATGTGCTTCTGCAAAGCTCAAGAGCTCTGGGAGTACTGGGGGAAAAGAGTTAGCAAACTCCTCCCTGCCCGCTGTTCTGTCTTCCTTCCTTGGGCACGGCAGGGCTGCGGGCAGCGTCCCTGGCCCTCACATCTCCGCCTCTCCCTCTGGCACGGGCATGTGCGTGCGTACAAATGGGAACAGGTTGCCCGCGGGATACAGCGTCCTTCCAGCTGTAACAAAATGGAGGGATCGCTCCCCGGCACTGAATGATCACGTGTGTTGTCTCCTCTCCCTGCAGAGTGGAAGCAGTGACCTGTTTCCTTTCAAACCTTTTTTTAGGGTTTTTTGCCATTTCTTAAAAAAAAACAACTCACCTAAAATCTCTGGATGCAATGAATTATTACTACTATTATTATTAGTGTGTGGTAGCTGGCTAGCAAGAGACATGTTTTATAATCTTATTACCCACACCAAGTCTATGAACCACAGTTCGACCGACAGCCAGAGGCTTGGCTCTGCAAAGAATATGCTGTGTATTAACTGCTGAAGAAAATCTAAAAGCTTGTGGTTTTGTTTTATTAAACTGTTTAGAATACACACCGCAGTAAATCTGAACCATAAGGTTTCCTTTTTATAGTCCTTAGCAATCCTATTTTACAGTAACAATAAAAAAACAACCAATCGTAAAAATTCTTGACCTTAGCGCTGCATTAAAAAGGGGGTTTAGGAGATCATTACCCCACGAGAAGGGGCATTTGCTCTGTATTAACTTCTGCAGCTCTGGAGAGTCCTCGCACATTTTCGGGTACCAGAAAGGGACATAAAAACAGCCCTGGGGAGGCCCTGGAATATTCAGATTATTTCTAACCTGGGGCAGTTCGGCCTTCCGAATGCCCCAGCCAGGTGCCAGGTTTGGGATCGCTGCCTGGGCTCTGCCCTGGGTGAACACTGGGGTCATGCAGGGATCCCAGGAGGAGATGACTGGCCCTCTGGTACCCGCTCATGCCTCCCTCGCCGCTTCCAGCCCTACAGTGAGGCTGAGACAGGCAAGGGCTGGGAGGGTCCCACAAGCCACTCTGGTCTGTAACACCACAGGCTACGCCTTGCTAAAGGCACGGCGTGTTTTGGGTGAGGAAGTGCTGTGGAAGAGAAGGGCACGCGCTTGCTCTTTGCAGAGAGCAAGATGAGCTTCAGAGCGGAGCACCTGAGCTGCTCGCCGGCAGTGCGTCCCCCTCCAGCCACGCGTCGCCCTGCACGACTGATTCACCAAGCACCTCGGTGACTTCAGTGGGAGACACAGATCATCGGGGAAGCACATTTGGCCTATTCAACATTTACGGGTTCCCCTAAATTGTACAACACAGTGCACACTCAGTAACTTTGTAAAGGATGTACTGCAAACAACAGCGGGATGCTCATAACTCCTGAACAAATAAATACAGCCTGATTAAAAGACCACACACACAGTGGAAATTATTCCCCTGTTCCCTTGTAAAGCCAATACTGTGCGTCAAGAGGCAACTACAGCTCATCCACACACAGGCAAGCTGGAAGAAGGATTTGTCCATCACTGAGCAGAACCGTCAGCACAACCCTACAGCAGTGCCCAACAGTCACGGAATATGTAGCAAAAGCCAGGGAAGCATAAAGAAAATGCTCTTGCATCAGTTCAGACCATTCCTGCGAAAAAGCTTTCTCAGCAGCTGTTGCTGAAGAGCAACGTAAAGCCCAGCTGCTCCTTCCAGCCTCCTGGCAGCACCTGCATTATCTCTACATATCTTCTTCACGGAGGAAGAGCTGAGGAGAGGAGGTGGCCAGACCAGAGACAGAGAAGAGGCAAGGCAGGGACAAGTGGTGGCTCACTTCTCCTTCCGGCCTCAGAGACTAGCAAATGGACCTGTGCTCCCTAGATGATTTATTCAGACAAAACATGACCCGTGTCATTCTTCCATTTGCAGAAGCTGCCAGCCACAATCTCCTTGCGAGCAAGCCAGCACTAACTCTTGGCAGCACCCTCACATTTTGCAGTTGATACTGACCATGCGGCTTATTCCCAAGACGGAGTAGGAGGAGGTCACAGATGCTAATCCTGGGTGACAAGGGCTGCAAAAACATCAGAGCAACAGAAGAGATCTAAGTACTATCCTTCATCTCTGCCACTGGTGTACCATGTGATCTCAGCCAAATCACTTCACCTAGGCTTTCCATCCCTCTGTCTCACTCACAACTCATTGACAGCTGCCTTAAAACAAAACCAGTAATTAGGGAAACATCAGAGAAACTCTGTGAAAAGTTCTAACATAGCCTCCTCCTTCTGCCTTGATCTTAAAACTAAAGCCAGCTTTAGGGGGCATAAAACCGCATTTTGCATTTACATGTCATTGTTTGCAAACAACAGAATTCACAGGTTGGTTTTTAGCACAAAGCAAGAAGGCATCTGCTGGGCACCGGAGAAGAAATCCAGACATCAGGAATCACCACTCCGTCACGTGCGGGCTGTGTGACTGTCGGCAAGTCATTTAACACTTCCCTGCCTCAGTTTTCCCAGCTGTAAACCAGGGTTGCCGCTACTCTCCCACCTCGCAATGCTACGGTGCATGAGCTGATCCCTCGCAAATACTGCCGCACTCCCGCTGCCCAAGGTGGCTTTGTTTTGTTCCTAAAACCAGCTAAGCATATTTTCCAGCAGGAGGAAAAAATGAGTCTATGATACCCTGCCTTGACTTACTTTGATTCTAGCACAGAAAATACAAGAGACATCTATATCTGTCCCTCCTTGATAGACAAACTTAATTAACCTTTGCTATTCTGTTCCAACCTATTCTTTCAGACAAAGGCAGTGACCCATAAACAATATGTTACCATCAGAATCTCAA